AAAAAAAAAAAAAAAAAGAAAGAAAAAACAAACAAACAAAAAAACCAAACAAAAGAAACGGGAAAGCAGGGCATATACGACGGACCAACTTTTTGGATTTTCAAAAGGAAGTCATGGCTTCTGAGTTCTGGTTTCACATGCTGCCTGGCCCCTAAACCATGATTCTCAACCCCAGTAGATCCAACCTTCTTTAGTCAATACAGCAACTCAACCCGTCACTCTCAGGAAGCGAAATTCCTGGATCATATGACCCACATCACCACTATCTTCTTCGTTCTGTTTGCGCAGCACTGGGGATTGAACACACAGTCTTGGGTTTGCTAGGCAGATGCTCCTGAGAAAGGACATGGGGCTAGAAGGAGAGGAACAGGAGTCATGACGGATATGTCAGTAGAGTGGGGATTATGGGTAGGTGGGGTGAAAGGGAAAGTGGAGTGGAGCGGAGGGCAACTCCGAGGGGCTTGGAAAGAGGAAGCTATCATTTACAGCGATGCAAGGAGCAGGCTGGGGCGACACAGGTTCACACGTGTTAAGCCCAAAGGCCTTGGGACATCTGCAAAGTCCAGCAACACCTCTGTTTGGGGCCCTCAGTGCGAGGCTGGAGGAGTGAGAGCTACGACTGAAGTGACCATTCAGGCCGATGCCAAGGTGAGGGCCCTTCCAGAACACTCCGCTGTTTTTCTGGTGCCCTGGCACCTTCGGAACCATCCGGACTGGACCACTCTGCAGAGGGCAGTTGATGGGACCCCTGGATTCACGTGCCTGTTCCCTCCACGCCCTGAACTCAGGGACCGCCCAGGATCGAGTGAGTTAATACACGAGGGAGTGGGCACCGAGCACACTCATGAGATGCAAACTACTGTCACCAACCTGGGTGACCCGTCACACTCAGGCAGCCACCTGAGGGCCTCTGAGTTACAGACCGAGTGCCAGACACCGCCTGGTTGGGTCCTCTCCATACCCAGTGAGAACATTGCTTAAGTCACTATTTCACGAACCGAACCCAGAAAGTGAGTGTGAAAATGTGCTAATTTGTGAACCGAAATTCTAGCAAAGCCTCTTTGGAGCCCACACGAGTGAGTCAGAAAACAAGTTATTTCAGTCTTTCTCTCAAGAATCGCTTCTTTCCTGCTGATCTGATGAATCGCCTTCCTCTTGGAAAATCTTCCTTGTAGTCAAGACCTACTTTTTGAAGTATTTTGGAGCATCCATAATTAACAGACTGGGGACAAACACAAGTGAAACAGCCACCCCGAGACTCTAAACGGAGAAACTCAAAATATCTTCCCCAGAGGCAGGACAGGCAGGGCCTGCATCCAGACACAAGGTAGGTCCTAACCTAACCCAACCTAAACCTAACCCGCCAATTCAGAGAACTGGAAATCCGAGTTCTACAGCAACTGGGGTCCACTGGGAAGTCAAATCCCAAAACCTGTGCCTCCTGAGAGCAGGGAGGAGACACACATTTGTACAAAATTGTGCAAGATGCTGGTAAATACCCTCATTATAGGCATTTAAGTTGGTTTAGTAAAAAGCAAACTAAGTTAACAGGATTATCTCTATGGTGGGAGTGTGGGTGATTTCCATTTTTTCCTTATTGGTTAAAATTTGTTATAATGAATACTGTACATTTGTGGAAAAAAATGTGTTCTAGAGACGGTGTGGGCCTAAAAGCTAAGTACACGCAGGTGTTCTAGAGCCTGATCACCTACCCAACCGGCTAAGTGACGTTGCGCAAGTCACTTACCTTTCAGCATTCCACACCCTGGCCTATATGAGACAAACCAACAAGAAATACCCAGCTGTGGGAAGCGCACAGGCCCCCGTGGAGCGCCCAGCACACAGGAAATGCCGAATGCTACCTGTTGCTAAATGGTCTCTACACTGGAGGGGCTGGGACTATGCTAATGAGTGGGTGGGGCTTGTCTGCAAACGTGGCCAATCAGAGCAAAGATCTTTGAGGTCGGTAACCCTGGAGACAGGAAAACCCAGTATGACAGCCAGCCAAGGAGCTCCCAAAGCACGAGCACCGTGCTCATTGCCTCTTGCTAACCCCACCTTTTTTTTTCCACAAAAGGAAGAGACTCAGGTTCCTTCTTGCTGTGTATCACCGTTTATTGTCATTTGAATTAGGAATTCAACAGAGGACATTGTGGGGAGGGGGGGAAGAAAAAAGAAAATGTTTTTTAGGCTTAATTTCCTCCAAAGAGTTCATGGTTTCAAACGCTTTTTTACTCCAAAGGAAACTGAAGAATTCCAGTATGTCACGTAGGGAGCAGTAATACAAAATGTGTGTGTGTGTGTGTGTGTGTGCGTGTGCGCAAGTGCGTGTTTGTCTGTGTGTTGAAAGCAGCAGACACACGTCCACGTTCCTTACACTCTGTTTTGCTTTGGTAAGGCCGGACCCCAAAGAACACTCTGTACAGATGAGCCCTGCCTCCGACCCCTGACGCGAGGGCTGAGAATTCATCTGCCCTCGTAGGATAAGGGTGAGGTTTGGGCTGACACAGTATTTTTAAAAAAAAAAAGAAAAGAGAAAAAGAAACCAACCCTCATCCCCCTTCAAAAACCCTGACATCCAGTACTGCGCAAGCCGCTCGGGCTGCTTAACGGCTCCTTCGATTCCTAACGGGGCCTGTTCTAAGGACCGGAGCAACAGGGTTCTCTTCATTTGGTTTGTCATAAAAAAATTTAAAAGGGACATTTCAAAAGGAAAAAAAAACCCTGAAATTCGAATTCTGAAAATATCTTGCCTTTTTTATTAATCATGTCATCTAACACCAATTAAAAAAGCAAATATGTGAATATGATATAAAAATACGATTCCAGGATTAACACTTTGTTGCAGGCACAGTTATCTCACAGAGTATATGTTTGGAGGGCTGGGGAAAGGAGCTTGTTTTTGTTTTTGCGTCTTTAAAAAAAATCCACAGCAGTGCAAGTAGGGTCAGGAAGGGGAGGAGGGGGAAGATTCTTTAGCAGCAAAATGTCCAAGTTCTCTAATCACAATCAAATCAACGGATATTGGATTAAAAAAAACCAACAAAACAAAAACAAAAACAAAAGATGAAGGGGTTGCGGCCCGGACCCATTTGTCATCACTCAATGCTTCCATCGCAAAAGCCCCGACTGTGACACGTGAAGGACGCGCGTCATCACGCAAGCATTCATCAGGCTCGTCCTTCAGGCTCCTGGCTATGTGTCACCTAAATATATGTACAGGGATTGGGCTTCTCTTCCCATCCAGGGCCCTGCCGATCTCTGCAGTCTGGTCGCTCAGGGTGGGTTCGCGGGGACTGGGGCACGGCTGGCCCCAACACAGCAGCGGTTTCAGCCCAGGGGCTGCTCCTGCCTGCCCCGCTGGCCTCGGCTGCTTCCAGCAGAGGGTGGCGAAGGGGACAGTTAATGATCGCTGTTCTGTTTCTCTCGCATCCACGCCTGGATCTGTTCTTTTAGTTCTGGCACTGAAGGAAGAAAGAGAGAGGGGATTAACACCTCGGCTGGGAGCGCACGGCCGCAAGACAAGACGTGGCTCTAGTTCTTCGTGTCAGGGAAAGAACAGACACAAAGAGGATGGGACTGCCCTGCTGCTGAGCTCAGACAGAACGCCCCCGCCTACCTGGCTCCAGCATGCTCTCGGTCAGCGTCTGCCGGTTGAACGGGTCAGTTGGCGAGTTCAGCAGGTGCCGGAGGATGATGGAGCGGTCCATGATGGTGCCGGAGGGCAGGCGCACAGGGTCGGTCATCAGGGTGTCCATCAGGGGGTCTGTGGGGACAGTGTGTGGCAAGCTCAGAGCCAACCAGAGGCCAGGACGGAAAAGAGAGCAACCCTGAGCCCCTGGTGCCAAGAAAAACACATCTGAAGGAAAGCAACCGGATGGCCGCCCCGGGGCCCCTGAGTTTAAGAGAAAATCAGCATGAGATAAAGGCACGAGCACTGGCTTTTTAGATGGGAAAGCACCCTAGTGTCACTCTGATGGGAGGAGAGGAAAGACAGTGGGACAGTCACACATCAGGCCTAGCAGGCCTGGACCCCTTGTCTTTTGTTTGTTGTTGTTATTTGTTTTTGAAGTACTGGGAATTGGACTCAGGGCCTTTGCACTGAGCTACATCCCTGGCACTTTTAAAATTTTGAGACAGGTTCTCACTAAGTCACTAAATTCCCCAGGCTGGGCTTGAATTTGTATCTTCCTGGTTTAGCTTCCCAAGTGCTGGGATTACAGGGGTGGGCTGGGATCCTTTGTTTTAAGATGTCTCTGAATTCTCTGAAAGCATGAATCTTCATTTACAAAGGCAAAGCTGCCTTTAAAACAACATGGGGGATGTTTCGTTTGAAATCGGGCTAAGAACATTTCTTTCCTTTTAATTTATAAGCCGGATGTGGTGGCGCATGCCTGTGATCCCAGCACTCGAGAGGCCGAGGCAAGAGGATCACCACAAATTCAAGGCCAGCCTGGAATACATTGTGAGACCCTGTCTCAAAAAAAACCCCCAAAAAACCCCTAACCTTTTGATTTATTGTATCAGGTAAAAATTGGCAAACATAATTTCAGACAAAGCGTCTCAAGAAGCAGCTGTAGCACACCATCAAGACTTAAAAGCAGCCACTGCCTCGTGAGCTCAAAGAAGTTGGCGTCAAAGAGTGGGCCACTCGCCTCTGAACTCATCCGGGGCATCGCTGTAGTCGATTTCTGCGCGTGCGTTCTTGGCCACGATCTCCTCGACTTTCTCAGCGAGGAGTTTAAACTTCTCTATTGCTATGGTGGACTTGATCCCTGCCTTCCGCATCTTTGAAATGACTTCTTCAAACAGTTCCTTGCTGTAGGATCTCTGCAAATGAGGAGAGGCCATGTGAGGCGTGAGTTCAGTGGAGGCAGAAAGAGCAAGCTGCAGAAAACATGCAAAGCAGGACCCCCAAGCCCTAAATTATACACATTTATATATGATACATAGTCTATTCCAGTCTTTCTGTGCATTCATAGCCACATAAAAGGAGCCACATTTTAGGGGGTGGGTGTGTACGAAGCTCGGGGATAGAGGACTTGTCTGGCATGTCCAAGGCCCTGGGTTCAATCCTCAATGAGCACACGCATGTCCCCACGCACACACACATGCACACACAGGCACACTCACAGGATACTATGTGCCAAACTGTACAAGGCCCTTGTGGATGGGGAGGGCTGCGGGGCGGAGGCTGATGGGGAGCTTGACTTTCTGATACTAGCGTGCATTTCCTTTAAAGCACTGAAAGGAGAAGGCAGTTGAGCCTCTTTCAATTGAGATGCCAGCTCTCCACAATCAATCTATGAAGATGACTCGGTTCAAGCCCGTGACATGTCAGGTCCTCTGTTGACGTCAGACATCCCGGGAAATGGTGGCTGGGCCCATGCTGGGGAAGGGCAGGGCCAGGCTCCAGACCCAGGGAAAGGAGCTAGCCCTGCAGCAGCAGGTCCCTCATTGTCCCCTGCCGTTTCCTCAGGGCTGTGGGGACTGACTGAGTCATGGGCGCCTGTTCATGTACTCACTGCCTCTCCCAACACGTCATAGTGGCTCACGTTCTGCATTTCTAGCACAAATGGTGGCACCTGATAGTGACTCATGCTGAGACCCTGGAATGGGACCACAATCTCTACTCACACCAGGAAAAAACAAAGAACTTAGGCCCAAAATAGGTCCCACTGTCCAGTGGACAAATGTCAGGGTCTCAGACTTTGCTTTTCCCACTCAGTCGGGAGAGGAGGGTGTCTGCCCATCATCACTCCTTCGCTGATGTAGACTGCAGGCCCTGAGAATCTGGGCTTGGCTCTGGGGGCCCTGCACCGACCCCACTGCTCACTCCTGCTTTTGGGACCTGCAGTTTCTATCTGTGCATTTGTATTAACACTGGTGGCATGGGCTCAATTCATACTTGTGTTTTTATAAAGCACTGGATTCCAAATCCCCAACCTTTCTTCTCTTTATTTTGAAGACAGTCTTGCTATGAGGATGAAGCTGGCCTTGAACTCACTGTGTAGCCTAGGCTGGTCTCGAACTCATGGCAATCCTCCTGCCTCAGCCTCCCAAGTGGTGGGACTACAGGTCTTCGCCACCATGCCTGGCTCTTTTTTTCTTTTTTAACCTTCAGTTTCTGAACAAGGTCACACACTTGCTCCTCACTAACCATGCACTGGGGGAAGAGAGGGAAGGAAAGGTGGTAACAGGAAGGCTGGGCCTGGCAGCAACCCAAAGGCTACTTTCTGCAGCCTGGCAAGCTGGGAGCCCCTCAGATGTGGTTCCCTAAAGCTAAATTAATACTTTGATTCAATGCACTCTTGATTCGGGGCCCCCTTATTATGAGCCAGGTATACTACCAAGGATAAACAGCTGAAAGATTACAGGAAAATGTAAGAAGGGCAAAAATGCACAGGGACAGCCAGACATGGTGCCGAACACATGTAATCCCAGTACTCGGGAGGCCAAGACAGGAGGATTACTGCAAGTTCAAGGCCAGCCTGAACTAATAACGAGACCCTGTCTCAACCAACCAACAAAAAACACACAACAAAAATCCACAAACCCACACACATGGAATTCCTGAAGGCTGGCACGAGTGCTGATATAAATGCTACCGAAATTCCCTGCACCATCAACTTTTCTTGGGGACAGGAGCTGCTTAGCCCGTCTGCTATCTTCATAAAACATTAGTCACTACAAAGATGACGTGAGTGAGCCAGCCGGCCAGGGCCTGCCTGGAAGTCAGCGACTAACAGCAGTGTCAGGAGCAGAGGGAGACCGGAGGGCACTTAAAGCAAGGGGACAGAGAGGCAGCCAGGTGCCACTGCCAACTTGGAGCACCTTGCAAAGTAGCTACACGGTAAAAATGAGAATAGCCGCTAAGCGGAGGTCAGGTACCTGCTACCCAGGATATACAAAGGCCACTTCCAACTCAGCAAGCATGCACAGACTCCCCAAATCAAAGCAGGCCAGGACTTCAGAGCAGGCACTTCTTTCAGGAGAGTACATGAGTGGCCAAAAAGCACGGGAAAGGCGTCCAACTGCATTTCTCACCATGGAAACAGGACAGCACCCTGCTCCCCCAGGATGGCAGGCTAAGAAACAACAAATCTGTTCGCCAGAAACGAACTGGGACTCGTGCAGATGGGAAAGATGGATGCGAAATGGTTCAGGTCTCAAACACAGAGTTGCCACGTGAGCCAGTGGCCCTGCTCCTAAGCACTGACCAGAACCAGAGTCCAGACACACTTCACACCGTGTTTACAGCGGCACCAGTCACACAGCCGAGGTGGGAATGAGCCACATGCTCGCTCATGGGCAGAAGGTAAACAAATGGTGGTGCACCTGTGTGACGGAACTTCATCCAGTCAGAGAGGCAGTGAAGTACTCAATCTTCCTGCCCCATGGAGGGGCCTCAAAACCTGTATTCAGTTATTTAATTTTTCATTGTGCGGTATTAGGGGTTGAACCTAGAGCCTCATATATACTAGGCAAGTATTCTACCCTGGAGCTACAATCCCAGCCCCTCAAAAACATTACTGAATAAAAGAAGATGGACATCAAGGTTGGACATTACATAATTCTAATTCTATGTGAAATATCCAAAATAAATAGATAACTGTAATCCCAGCACTTGGGAGGCTGAGGCAGGAGGATCACCGTGTGTTTGAAGCCAGCCTGAACTATACAGCAAGACTGTCTCAAAAATAAATAAACAGGTAAAATAGAGAAAAAAAATAGACTAGTGGTTTGCAGGGGAAAATGAGCAGAGCCTGTATAATGGGAATAGGATTTCCTTTCAAGGTATCAGAAATGTTTTGGTCTTTTTTTTCTTTGGTACCGGGGATCGAACTCGGGACCTTGAACTTTTGAGACAGGCGCCGGAACCACTGAGCTAAATCCCCAGCCCTCAGAAATGTTTTGGAACAGAGATGACGAGCCAGACATGGTGACATGCGGCTGTAATCCCAGAACTCTGGGAGATGAGAGCTGGAAAGATCTTAAATTCGAGCCTAACCTGGGCAGCTTAGTGAGCCTGTCTCAAAATAAAAAATAAGAAAGGGCTGGGACGCAGTTCAGTATGAAGACCCTGGGTTCAATCCCTAGTACTGCAAAATAATGAACAGCTGCACAGTCTTTCCTACGTTAACTGCTCCTGCTTCTAACCTACCAGAACACTGAGTCTGTATCTCAAAGGAATGTTACTTTCTTAATATCTTCTATTTTTTTTGGTACCACGATCGAACTTCGGACCTTGCGCTTTCAAGGCAGGCAGCAGAACCCCTCTAAATCCCCGGCCCAATATCTTCTTTTTCTTGAGGGTAGGGGCGGTGGAAATGGAGCCCAGAGCCTTCAGTACGCTTGGCAAGCGCTCTACCGCTCAGCTACCACCCCCATCTTTCATTGTGAGTTAGTTTTTAAAGGATATAGGTGTGAACAGACAATGCTCCGGGAACATGGATAAGCAATCTGTCCACAGGACTGGACTCCGCCCATAAAAGCACAGCCAGACCAGGCCACCAGTGCCACCTGTGACTCAAGCCGGGTACCACCACAGCCACCACCGCAGTCCCCAGGGCAGGCAACGCAAAGCCGTCCTAGGTACCACCAGTCCACACTGCCAACTTCATCACAACACGTTATACCACTCAGATGTGACAGCCACAGCAAATGTGACCGGAGTAGAGGGAGCGTGTTGACCTCCTCTCCTATCTCTCCACGGCCTGGCCAGGACCAGCTACCTGGATGATGTTCCTGCTGTCCTCCCTCACAACCAACCACCACTTCCTTCCATTTCAAGCTATGAGCCCCATGATACAGATATAGGTTAGAGAAAGTCAGTATTTTATCATATCCCTAAGATGATCACAATTTCATTACCCCCCAGTTTACTACTACCACTTCTTATGGAAAAACTGCTTCAGATACATTTTCCCCCATTACACATACTTTGTCAATTACTTTTCATGCTTATCTCAAAGAGCACCTCTACAAGTGAATTACAGCTCATTAAAACTGTTACTTGAAAAAACACCACTGATTCTTCTATGTTAACAATATTCCTGTGGATGGATATGGGTAAAGAACCTTCTAGAAGGCCCACTGAGGGTAATCTGGGCCGGGAGCAATGTTGGCTTAGTAGTGTGAGCCCAGGTGTAGACACAGACACAAACAAGGCACTTTGGGGGCATTTAAAGGGGAGAGCAGAAAGGGTGAGAATATGGGCTCATGCCCAGGCTCTGGGACGCAAACCTTGCCTCTATTCCACACTACTCCATGAGCCTGGGTAGGTGATTTAAGCCCCACATATATATACATATATATAGATATACATAGCATGTATTTTTGGATACTGGGGACTGAACCCAGGGCTTTTGCAGTGAGCCATGTTTCCAGCCTGTTCTACATGTTTTATTTGGAGACAGAATCTCACTAAGTTGTCCAGGCCATGGTCCTCTTGCCTCAGTCTCCCGAGCACCTGAGATTATAGGTGTGCACCATCATGCCTGACAGTCTCCTCACTTTTTGCTTTATTTTGCTAATTTGAAAAGGACTCACATGGGCTGGGGATTTAGCTCAGTGGTTCTGCCACCTGCCTCAAAAGTGCAAGGTTCACGAGTTTGATCCCCGGTACCAAAAAAAACACAACAGACTCCCTACGTGGTTGACTTCTGCGAGAGTTAAATGAGCGGGAACATGAGATGAATAACTGTCATCATGGCAGACAGTTAATGAACATGAGCTATGATCGGGCTATAGACGATGCAGGACAGAGGGAGCTCTTCCTGAGGCGACAGGGATGTCACAGAGGGAGGTGACAGAGTGGCCTGAGCTAACCGGGGTGTGTGGAAGACCTCAGAGAAACTGTAACCCAGGGGACACGAGGAATGGAGGTGGAAGAGCGCAGAGGCATCTGACCTGGGAGACCAGGGAACGGGCGGCCCGAGCAGGAGCAGACTTGCTGGGGGACTCAGCACCTCTCCGAGCAAGGCTCGCAGCAAGACAGTAAGGACTGGGGCCAGGGAAGGATGGAGCCGCTCACTCATGTGACCAGGCCCTGCCTGCCGCTGTGGTCAGTACTCCCATTTGCACGCTGACACCTCCGGACCCGCGCCTGCCAAAGCATCACCCATCTCCATTTCTAGCAGGAAGCCCACGGACAGATGCCGCGTACCTGCACAGCCCGGCAGCCTGGGTCCTGGTCCCAGGGGCCCTGCTCCCTCGGCGGTGGCAGCACTGACCTGGTCGTCGGCGATGGCTTTAGCAAAGCGAGCACAGTCCAGCTGCAGGTAAATATCCGTCAGCTGGTCCAATAGCTTCTTTGGTTCAAAGCCATACTTCTCAGGGTTTTCAACTTTCAGGTCACGGCACTTGGGGCCGCAGAGCTGCTGAAGATTGAAGTTCAGCATGGCAGCCAATCGGGGTCCGAGTTCCTAGGAAATCAAAGGAAAATGGCACAACTTGTGCTGCTGAGACCAGTGGCAGGGACCGGCATGTCCCCTTGCAGGGGAGGATCAAGAATTGGCTTTGTTTAATCTTCAGAAAAATCCCTTCAGCATAAGCTGAAGAAGGCCAGAGTCATATTCAAACTTTTCTTCACTCCTCATTTATCACCTGAACATTCTAATACTTACTTTTCTTGAAGTTTGTATTTTCTTTTGTCTTTTTTTCTTATGGTCTTTTGAGACAGGGTCTCACTATATAATTCTAGGTGGTCCAGGCTGGCCTTGAACTCACAGCGATCCTCCTGACTCAGCCTCCAAGTGCTGGGGTTATAGGTGTGGACCACCAAGCTTGATTTAAATTTATGTTTTAATCATAAAAGTTAAGTATCACTCCAAATTTATTGAACAACAGGTAAAAGAGGGCAAATTATTTGTATGTCCATCATCATTTGAGTCACAAAAGTTCTGGATTATTGCTGGGCATGGTGGTGCACGCCTGTAATCCCAGCATTCTGGAGGCTGAGGCAGGAGGACTGCTATGAGTTTCAGGCCAGCCTGGCTTACATAGTGAGACCCTGTCTTAAAAAACCAAAACAACAACAACACCAACACTGTTTTGGATTCCACTCTTTTAGGTATCATTCCTTGACAGTTTACAGTATGCCTTTATCAGGCAGAAAAGAAATGCAAAAGGAGACAAAATTTATGTCTTGAATAGTTTTAAACCTAGCCAGTGAGACAAAGTAAACGTAAACAAAGCACTTAGAAAACAGTATTACTATGCAATAACCCCACAAGACAATACAGTGTCCACCAGAGTCGGGCACACACTGCTTTAAGTAGAGAAAAATCTGGCTTCAATTACAGAATGCTAATGCTGACGATAAAAAGGGAGTCCCAGAGCTGCCCTTTGGGTACCTAGGTTTTCATGAAATACAATGACTGGATCTATGCAGATCCCAAGTACACTCAGCTTCCAAGAATCTGTGTTTGCACAAAGTATTCCTCTATTCCACTGCTGAGAAGCTGTAAAGTGAGGGAGTGATGAGGTCAGGGTAGAGGCGGTAATTTTTCTTTGAAATAGGAGAGTTTTGGTTTGTTTGTTTTTTCGGTACCAGGGATTGAACTCAGGACCTTGTGCTTGCAAGGCAGGTGCGGTGCCCCTGAGCTAAATCCCTGGCCCTTAGGATTTTTTTTATTTTTTTATTTTTTTTTGAGACAGGGTCTGGCTATGTAGTTCAGGCTGGCCTTGAACTCACTATGTAGTCCAGGCTGGCTTTGATCTCGAAGCGATCCTCCTGCCTCAGCCTCCAGAGTTGCTGGGATTACAGGTGTGTGCCACCATGCTTGGCTGGCGTTTTGGTTTTTTGGACAGGGTCTTGCTATATAATCCAGGCTGGCCTTCAATTTGCCATGTAGCCCAGGCTGGGCTCAAACTTGAGATCCTCTTGGCTCAGCCTCCAGAGTGCTGAGATTATAGGTGCAGCAACCTTTGGCTTCCTGAACGTTAACACAGCTATCTAAGAGAATCAAAGATTTACATGTTATCAAACATCCTACTTAATGTACTCCAATTTATGTTATATTATACTTTCCCTATAAATAAATCACAGAAATCAATAATGATAAAAATAAGTCCCAACTCCAATATCAAAAAATCCAATGTACTGTATGCTGTCTAAGCACAAAGTGAACAAAGTCACCCTGGAAGTGACCATCTGTAGACTACATGGTGACATCAGACATCTACCAGCAGAGCACTATAGCATCAGTTAGCATAGGTAGAAACAAAATCAGTAATAAAATTTCACTTTTTGCTGTGATATTAGTATTTCTAGGTTTGAAAAATTGCGTTAAGCCAGGCAAGGTGCACGCCTGTAACCCCAGCATTCCACAGGCAAGAGGTTTGCTGTGAGTTCCAGGCCAGCCCAGGCTACACAGTGACCTCAAGACCAGCATGAACTACACAGTGAGACTCTGACTAACAAAGAAACAAACCCCTAAAACGAAACACACACACAACCCCCCAAAACACTGTGTTAAATGAGAAGTGGTAGGGCCTGGATGTGGATCCCAGCAGACAAAACCGCTCTGGCAGTTCCTACTCACCGGTCTGAGGAACGGCTTCTGGACCTGCTTGGTGAGGATGTGGAACATGTCCACGGTTTCTGTCGCCAGGGCGAGGTAGGAGCGGGAGACGCGCTCGTCCTGAGCCAGCTGAGACTGCCGGGCCTGCTGCTGATCCTGGGGAACAGTGGACAGGTGCCACCTGAGCCCTGGCACTGGGTATCAGCTTGCCAGGTGCCAGGTCACACTTGAAGAGTGTCATGAGGCCGGCTCACTCAGGAGTGAGATGCCAGGCTGCCCAGTCAGTGTCCCGAGAGGCCGGTTTCAACTTTTGGCATCAGAACTCTTCAGCCTTAAGTCAACTGGCCTTGGCATCCTTTCCTTGGTGCTAGGGATGGAACCCAGGGCCACCCCTGAGCTCTGCCCCAGCCACCTGGGGTTATTTAACCCTAAGTTTTCTCAATGATAACTGAAGGCCATGTGGGATAAATTAAGTGACTCTTTTTTTTTTCCTTTTTTGGTAGTGGGAATCAAACTAAGGGCCTGCGCTTGCCAGGCAGGCACTGTGCTGCTGAGCTACATCCCTGGCCCCTAGCGACTCCAACTTACTTGGGTACACACGGTATTCTAAAGTGTCTTTCGTCTCCCTTAGTAACAACTTTTTTTTTGGTAGCAGGGATCGAACTCGGAACCTTGCGCTTGTGAGGCAGGCGGCGGAACCACTGAGCTAAATTCCCGGCCCCAAAAGACCAGAACTTTTTCTTTTCCCCTGGTTCCGGCGATTGAACTCAGGACCTTGGGCTTGCCAGGCAGGTGTTAGCACCACTGAGCTAAATCCCCTCCCCTGCTTTTTTTTGTTACCAGGGATCGAACTAAGGACCTTGTGCTTGCAAGGCAGGCACAGTGCCAGTGAGCTAAATCCCCAGTCCCCCTTAGTAACAACTTTTACTCAGTCCTCTCCATTTCAAACTCTGCCATGCCCTGGCATGATGCCACTGAGCTAAATCCCCGGCCCTAGAGGCCTTTTCTTATTAGCAAAGGGCAAACAGCTGGAACAGCTGGCAAAGCGGAGTGCCCAGGTGCTGGGTCAGGTCAGCAGGGGTGCAGTGGAGATTCTGCAACCAGGCTGGGGGCTTCTCCAGGGAGGCCACAGGTGAGGCCGAGCCCCCTCCCTGTGGTCTCTCCATCCTCCCTTCGGGACCACACAGGTGATTCCACAGGCCTGGCTGCCTGCAGGTAGGAGCCTGGATTCCATCGGTGAGACTGCTCACTACACAAACAGCCCGACAACGTGAGAGCTCCAGCAGGTCAGGGGGAAGGAGTGAGGTTGGGGCCAGCCTCAATGGGAGATGACGTATGAGAAGGCTTCCGAGGGACTGAGCCAGCCAGCCCAAAAAGAAGGGGGACACAGCACTGCACACAGAGACAAAGAGGCTGGGGTGGCTGGGAGGTGTGGAGGGGCGGGCATGGGCAGGAGAGGCACTGAGGGCCAGACCCTGAGTGCCTGGGGGCAGGGGGAGCCCTGCGGGCCTCTGAATGCAGGGCACCGAGAATATTTTGACAGTGTCCCTCTGGCAGGGACACAGGCAAGAGTGGGGGCTGCAGATGGGAATGGGGCTGTGGCAGCAATGCAGGCAAGACTTGGTGGAAAGAGGAGATTATACATGTAAAATGTGTTCCTTTGTGCTTTTCTTTTCTTATGGTGTTAGGATGGAACCCAAGGCATGCTAGGTAAGGGCTCTACCACGAAGCTACAGCCCAGCCTGCTATTGTAAAATAGAGCCGCGAGGTCCTCACTCAAGAGAGAGGTACAAGAGTAAGGACAGTGCCACAGTATTGAGTGTGAGTGGCTGGCTGGGCACACTCTGGGCAGAGCTCGAAGACAGCATCTAGGGTTCCTTAGGGACAGGCATCAGATCACCCAGTGGCAAGGCAAGCCAGCACTGGTTAGAGAGGTCTGGAGCCAGGCCAGGTGAGCGGAATACTGTGGACTCTTTAAAAAACAGGTAAATTTAGGGCCAAGTGTGGTGGTGTATGCCCATAATCCCAGCACTCTGGGAAGCTGAGGCAGGAAGCCCAGCTTAGGCGATTTAGAAAGATCTTGTCTCAAAAAGAGAAGGGATAGCCGGGGATTTAGCTCAGTGGTTTCGCCACCTGCTGCACAAGTGCAAGGACCTGAGTTCGATCCCTCATAGCCCCAAAAAAGGAAAGGATGCAGCTCATTGTGAATACCATGGATTCCATCCTTAGTACCATAAAAACAAACAAACACAAATTTAAAGCCACAGAATAGTTATCCTCTGGCGTTGCTATTCACCTGGGGCTTCGGGTTATGCACATTTCTGGCTCATGATGGCTGAGGTAGGAGGTTAGGTCCCTGGCGTAAAATGAGCAGGAACCAGAGGTGCTACATATCCTGCAGTGGAGGGACAGTTTGTCACCAGAAAGGGTTCACAATCTTCAAAATCTACTACGCTTAAAATTACAACTAGTACCCTGGCTGAGAACAGCCGAGCCAGGGAAAAAGGCTGAGTGCTGGAGGCTGTCTGGGTTCAGAGGTTGGGAACAAGAGCAGGAAGAGCCGGGGAGGCGGGAGGAGGAAGAATGCCATCCAAAATAACAACTGCCAGGGACTCTGCGCCTTTCTATGTCCATTAAGAGACAAATCGATGGCATTTGTTGTCTCATGCCAAATGCTATTAAGCAGTGACTGTGAACAAGAGTCTGTTACAGACCTGGAGGCCAGCATCTGCACAGGCTGTCTTTGCTAAGCAGAGGCAGGAAGTGGGGGCTGCATAGGGAGGAGGAAGGCGAGGATGTGCAGCCACACTGGCTGGGGCAGCCACCGCCGAGAGAGGATCTGCATCAGTCCTCGCTCCTCACAGAATGGGTAGAGGTCTAACACTGTGTAGGACAGAAATGTCTCATGGCAAAGGAAACCGAGCTACACACACCAAGCACCTGGATGGCTGGAGCTAACACTACCCATTCATCTCCCCACTCTAGTAGCTCCTGCAAGGCAGGTGTTCTCTCTGGTTTCCGCATCGAGGTGGTGTCAGTTCTCAGGCCCAGGTCACCTTAGACACCAGAGCTGTGGTGCTTGCAACTACGCCTCTCCTGATTCCCCCTGGAGACAGTCCCCATCCACTGGCATCTACTGACTGCACAGGAGACGGACTTAGCAGAGCTCAGCGCTACCCTGGGAGACCTGGGCACCAGGGCATGGGGCATCAAGGCTTCCTCAACCCTGGGGAGCCGTGGAGCCGTGGGAGGACTCTGTGCCCTGGTGGTAAAACAGCTGAGGGTGTCCATGGAAACGAGTATGAGGGCAGTGTGTGTGGATGCCAGGGGTACCAGCATGGTGCCAGAAAAGACTGCTACACTACAATGCAATCAGGGGCTCAAGGAGTGTGTGGGCATGGGCGCAGGGGAGAGCCAGCATTCTGGACCCGGGACAGAGCCCTCTGTATGGTTTAAGTTCGTAGTGCAACACAAAGTTGTGGAGCAAGACGTAAAATTCTTATGAAAGCTGCAGGTAACCTAGAATGAAAACCTTCCCTAAACACACTGCCATAGCCTATATTTATGATACTCTTTCTTAAGTTTTAATCTGCTTTGTTTGTTTTTCTGAGAAAGGGTCGCACTATGTAGTTCAGACTGGCCCTGAACTGGTGGTGATCCTGCTGCCTCAGCCTCAAGTGCTGGGGTTACAGGCGTGCACCACCGTGCCAAGCTATGATACTTCTTGGCTCCACAGTATTAGCACTCCTGCTGTGCCTTCGCGGGGAGGATGCATGCAGGGTAAGAACCTCTTTGGAAGGCAGTTCGGACTCGGAACCACTCCATCGCTCAAGCCCCCAGCAGCTGACAAGAGCCCAGTAAGCATCTAAGGCTATCATCATGTCAGGGAGGGAGCAGACTGTCACCAGCACAACATGAATTTTTCATGGAATCCAGGCCTCTTGTCTGTTAATAACTGAATGTAAAACCTAATGTCAATGGAAAGAGAAAGCCCAACCAGAACCCTGAGTGATTCAGAGTTGCCTAGGGAAGAGTGTAGGAGCAAATCAGATTGTCCCTAGCAGACAGAAGTCTGGAGATTTATTTCCAAGTTACTTTCTTTTTTTAAATTTTTATTTTTTGGTACCGGGGATCGAACTCGGGACCTTGAGCTTGGGCAGCAGGCTGCGGAAACACTGAGCTAAATCCCAGGCCCGCAATTTTTTTTTGGTACCAGGCATCGAAGTCAGGACCTTGTGCTTTCAAGGCAGGCAGCGGAACCTGAGCTAAATCCCCGGCCCTCAGGATGCTTTTTTTTTCTTTTTTTTGGTACTAGGCATTGAACTTGGGTCCTTACACTTGTGCAGCAGGCGGCGAAACCACTGAGCTAAATCCCCAGCCCCCTCAGGATGCATTTTGAAAGGCTTCTCAGCTCACTGCTTAGCTTCAGATAAAATACTTCAGAAAGTTTACTCCTGGGGCGGGAGGCAGCTCAGTGGTAGCACACGCACTAGCCCAGAATTCACAAGGCCACGGGTTTGGTCCCCAACACCAAAAAAGCAGTTTCTCCTAGTCCCAACCTGAGATTTCATTTTATGGAGGCCCACAGGTAGGAAAGTCTGGCACAGTAAGATCCAGTGCCCCTGGACAGACCTGCAGATGCAGCCCCGAGCCAAAGCTCCACCTGTGTCCCTGCGGAGCAGTGTAGACCCTGATTCCGTCCTCACCCTCGGCAGCTGGTCCCACTGTTCTTTGTTCTTCATCTCTTCTTGCACCTCGTGGATCCGCTTCAGCGACTCCAGACTTTCGTCGAGCAAGAATGTTGTGTCGTTTATCAACATGTTTATATAGCGAACAAACTGCTTCCCAGAACTGGAAAGGAAAGAGAGGGTGCTGGTCACACGTCCAGCAGGTCCCTGAGAAAGCCAGCCTTCCTGGGCACCACCCACACCCTCCGCAGGCCCGTTGGTGCTACCCAGGCCCCTCAGAGCCCAAGGCCTACAGCGTCGCTTGGTTCTGTTCTCTCACATTAACCGAGGTAAGCTTGTCTAGCAGTGCGCTGGAGCCTCTTGGGGCTCCTGGCAAGCAACTGCTAAACACTCCAAAGTCTGTGAGTCTGTGAGCAGATTCCTTTAGCAGCTTAAATTGGCAACAGGGGCCACATTCACACCATGGACATTTCTCCCTCTTGAGAGCAGGTTTCCCAGCACACCCCTGGCTCATTCCTTCAGTGCTTCTAAGCAGAGACACTCTTCAGGTTGAAAAGGAAATACGCCTACACTCACCATGAAGCAAGGAAAGCAGAAACAATCCCCCGTCTTAGCAGACAAGAGAACTATGAAGTCACTCCTCAGCACAAAGAAAGACACTGAGGGAAACCTGGAACCTAGAATATTGAAAAAGGAGGATATGAACTCATTTTGCAGAGCCTGTAGCTTCCAGTCTAAGATGGCGTTCTGCAGACTGTTATCATGAAGGGACTTGCTGAACTGAAGCTGCTGGGGCTGCCTGGTGGACTCTGAAGAGCAGCTCTGTTCCTGGACCTACGACCATGGAATCAGGGAGGGAAGCCCAGGCCAGGCAAAGAGAGGTCTCTGGGAACAAGAGTGAGAGGCCTGGGCCCAGGATGGCCGGAGTAGAGGGCACACATTTTCAAAGGACATGGTGCAGCTCAGGCCTCGGGTCTGCTTGCTCTTTACACTCATGCTAGGCTTCTGGTGGAACATAACTCTGGGCCTAAGAGAAGGTCTAGAAATGGAAATTATCTTGGTTTAGGCTGCAGAAAGCCAGCTGGCAAATGGGTGTTCCACTAGTAATAGAGATAGTATTGACTAGTAACAAAGGTAACACCAGTTCTCAAGATTTGATCAAAGACCTAATGGGATATAAAAGATCCAAGTCGATGGGATAAAATTTCTTCTGAAGAATAATTCAGGAGTTCAACATCTCTCATCTTTCCCTCTTTCTCCCATCTTTTTCTGAAGCACTGACAGATAACAGGACTGCTGTTCAGGTTTGAAGAGTCACTGAGATCTCACCCAGGGTTATGGGAAGTCTTTAACCAGGACTGAGGGACCTGGTTACAAGCAATGCCCTACAAGTAATGATTCTTCAGATGACAGCCCTAACCTAACTGCTTCTCCATCTAACTTGATTCCTAACTCAGGAAGTTTAATTCTCAAGAGCACTGTAAGATTTCATTCAGTCCTTCTGACGACTCTGTTTAACAGTGTAATCAGAGAAACACCGAGAAACACTTAACATGCACATATTTTCAGAATCTTTTTTTATGCAACCCACCTTAAAGTATGTGACAAATGTAGAGCTCAGCCACATCATGCAAGTGTAGACATTTCGATAACCGGGCCCCAATTTCGCAATACCTTGTGGTAAACTTGCTGGAGGCTGAGACCAAGCAAACAGTAAACAGGAACCCAGTGGGGAAAGTTTTTAAGCTGCATCCTACCTGTGATTTGCAAGACAGGAAGCTGTGATAGACAGGAGGGCCCAGTACTCACTTGAACTCCTCCATGAAAGTGCCATGGTGAGCTATATTTTGCCAAAGGCTTTTAAAGATGGTGCTGATGTGATAGCGAATGGTAAACTTGTCATAGAACTCGCTGGTGGCTCCAGTATGCTCAACATCTATGGAAGAAAGACAGAGACTAAGGGACAGGCAGTTATCACTACGCCAATGTATGCTGCAATACCAGCAATCTGGTAAATCTGCACCTGTATCTGGTGAAGAGAGGAGGCAGGAGAGAAATTATGAGCTGGTTTTGAAGACAAAACGGTTTCACAATAAAGGTGTGGCAATGATTCAACACTGAGAAGCAGGGGCCGGGGACTCACCGGCACCACTAGAACAGCGTCAACTCAAGAGGAATGAAAGCTGACTCAACACAGCTGGCTGGGCAAGTGCAAGGTCCTGATCCCCCGGTATAAAAAAACCAGAAAAACACACCTGGCCATCAGGAGGTAGCACTTCAAATGCACAGCCCTGTGTAGGAAGGAAGCTGAGGGGAATTTTATCGAAGGATATGGACCTATTAAGTAAGCATGGCATCCTAAAGACTTGTGTATCATGCATACTTTCCAGGTGTTCTAAAGCACAGAAAAGTACAGTGAATCCCCCATGTACCTGCTGCTCATTTATCAATTATCAACATCCCTGCACCTAGTAAAATGAAACAAAAATCAAATTTGGTTATGCCAATGGAAAATAGCTTAAGCATGAAAAATTCCAGAGTTCATGATATTTATTTATTTACTTATTTATTTATGAGACAGTCTCCCTATTCAGGCTGGCCTTGAACTCACTGTGTAGCCCCAGGCTGTCCTCAACTTGCAGTGATCGTCCTGCCTCAGCCTCTCAAGTGCTGGAATTGGAGGTGTGCCTCACTCTGCCCAGCAATGACAAATTTTAAAAAGAGGAAGAATTGGCAGGTATAGATAGCTGAGGTTTAAGAAAGAACTAAACACATAAGTTAAAATAAGTAACTATCTTGAATTTATCAAGTTGGCACATTAAGGAAATGTCAGGACAGCAGAGGTGAGGATTTGGGGAATAGGCACACCACCACAGGCAGAATGAATGGCAACACAGACACTTAGGTCAATTTAACAAGTCGTGGCGAGGCCATCAGCATGCCTGTCCCTGCAACCTGCCAATTCCACTCAAGAAAATGCAGCAAGCATGTTCCAAGACTCTTTCTCACAGACACTCAACAAAGTCCTATTGTATGGCTGTTTGTAAGTCCCCTCCCCAGAGTCCTCCTCCACGCTGTGTCCCCGGGTTCACCGGCCCTGCAGCCGGTGGAAGGACCATCATCTAACACGAGCCCGCTCTAACACTGTTGCACCATTCGGATCAGTGCTGGGCAGGAAGGGCTGGACACGAATTTGCTTTTCCCGTGTCTTGCTAGTCCTTGGAGCTCTTCCTCAAGGGTCATGGTGCTGTGTGACAAGGTAGAGCACTCTTATTCTGAAACCTGATTTTATTTTTGAGACAAGAACTAGAAGCTCAGCGTTTCCTAAGCTGTCACACTCTGGCCAAGGGGAGAATGACGCACACATCGATCTTGTATGGGGACTCTGCTTCTGGTCTGGCAGACAGACACACTCCAGCTGGCTGCTCCTCTGCAGATCTGCACAGAGGCTGCCAGTCTCTTGGGGGAGCGTCCGGGAGCCCCGACTCTGCAGGGCCCTCTCAGGGGGCCCGTCACTGCAGAAGAAAGCAGTGTGGGCCAGCGCACTTGTGCTGGAGCCCAACTGCAGGCTTTGCTGCCACCTGCCTGCTCTCGACCTTCACCAAGCTTCCTGACCTTTCTAAACTCCAGTTTCCCCATTGGTAAAGGGAGGTATTTATAGAGCCCGTCTCTGGGACCTCGGTGGATTAAGTGGAAGGATCAGTGAGTATTGGATGAGTGAGGCTATTATTAGGACAGTGTCATCTGTGTGACTCCAGGGTGGTATCATCCAGGCTGGAGGGCACACGGCTGCACAGCGAAGGGGACAGAGAACAATACCCACTCACCAGCCCGGTCCCACACACACAGACACAGGACTGAGGCACCAGATGCTAAATCCACTCCCTTTGCTTGTTTGTACTACAAAAATAACTGCTTCAATTATGTCTTTCCTTTTCTCCTTTGGTGATACTGGAGAGTGAAGCCAGGGCCTTTGCACTGAACTACAACCCAGACCTTTTTCTATTTTTTATTTTGAGGCTGGGTTTCACTCAGTTGCCCAAGCTGGGCTTGAACTTACAATCTTCCTGCCTCCACCTACCAGAGTGCTGAGATTCTAGGTGGCACCACTACAGCTGTTTGCTTACTTTTTGTTACTTAACCACTTAATATAAATAACATTATTTTTCAAGGATCATATAGGTTACTGTATAAACTATAACATTTAATTTATCCACAATAGAAATATAGGTTGTTTTAAAAATATTTTCACTACACTGTATTCAAAATAATGTTATAGTGAAAGAATGGCTGCTATCAAGAAATCAACCAATAACAAATGCTGAAGGGGCTGTGGGGGAAAAAGAACCCTTCTCCACTGCTGATGGGAGTGCAGACTGATGCAACCACTGTGGAAATCAGGGCAGCGACTTCTCAAGAAACTAAAACTAGAGGTTCCATTCGACCCAGTTATTCCTCTTCTTGGTATCTTCCCGAAAGAATTAAAATAATCCTACCACAATGATATATGCACACCCATGTTTACAGCAGCACAGTTTGTAATAGCTAAAACTTGCAAACAGCCCAAATGCCCATCAACTGGTGACTGGATAAAGATGTAGTCTTTTTCTATACAATGGAGTACTACTCTGCCATAAAGAAGGATGAGCTTCAGACATTTATAGCTAAATGGATGGACCTTGAGACCATATTCTTTAAATGAAATGAATGGAAAACACGTGTTTAAATACCACATTGTTTCTCTGGTGTGAGAAATCGAAAGTGGAAATAAGGACTGAAATATATAATGGATGTTGGGAAATGGGAAGAAAGTGTTGAAATGGGAAGGGGAACATGGGAGGAAGGAGGGAGAAAGGAAGGAAGGGACAAGAAAAAAAGTGAAAATAGAAGGAAAAACTGGAAACAAAGCTTTTGTGCATAGGGAGAGGAGGGGATTTGGGGGGGGGATGGGATAAAACACAATTTATTGAAAAAATTAAAAATATTTAAAAAACTAATGTTGTAGGCTGGGGATTTAGCTCAGTGGTTCCACCACCTGCCTCACCAGTGGAAGGACCCGAGTTCGATTCCCAGTACCAAAAAAAAAATGTAGTGAATATCGTCATAGACAAATATGCAGACACATTTATAAGTATTTCCATGGGACAAAAGAGTGGAATTGAAATTTGCCAGTGAGAGGGCAGGCTGGTTATTCTGCTGACTCTCTGCGCCCAGCCCGCATCTCACGCTTGGCCTGTGAGTCTTGAGTGGGGACTGTGCCTCAGACCATCAGGGTCACCAACAGAGGGCGCTGCAGCAGGGACAGACAGATGGGGACTCAGCTGACAATGGCTGTGCTCCTGGAGTCCCTCACATGCTTTCTGTCATCTTTAACAGGGATCAAAAAATAAATATACATTGAATTAATGAATGAGCAAAGATACCAGATCCAGTGGGGTCCAAGAATAAGCAAAGTTTTTTTGTTTTGTTTTCTTAAAGCAGGGTCTCGATATGTAGCCCAGGCTGGCCTTGAACTTCACAGCAATTCTCCTGCCTCAGCCTCCCAAGTGCTTGTATTACAGGTGTATGCCACCATGCTTGGCCAAGAAAAAGCATTTTTAACAAGTATACTATTTTACTCACACTTTGGAAACTCAGAATTATGGGACAGTTACAAAAGTAATGCCCTAAGTTCAAAGTGAAAACAAACCAGGTAATTCATTCAGATAAAAACATCCACTTAGGCTACTGACAGCAAAGTGAACCTGCTACATCATTAGAGATGGGAATGTGGGATAGGCAATAAAATATTTCAGAGGCTCAGGGGGAAAATAACCCAGAGCACATGTTCTGGGGGCGGTGGGTGACACACTCCTAAGTGGACATCAGGCCATCAGGTAACAGGTTAGTATCGCCGCCCACCGGCTTCCATGACTCTGCCCAAACATGCAACGTGCCACACGGCACACCCCGGAACCCACCTGTGTAGAACTTCATCAGGGAAGGTACCAGCAATTTGGTGGAGAGTGGGTGGTTCTCAATCATTTCGAAAAACTTCTGGGTTCGAGGCTGAACAGCAGGGTTGGTCATGAACATGACTTCTACGAGTTTGGCCACTAGGTACGGATTCCGGATGTAATTCTGGTTGCACAGCATCACGACAAGGAACATCACGATATCCTGAGTACAGGGCTCATAGAGCACCTGAGGCGAGTATCTGGACGGGGCGAGAGGACAAGGGAGAAGCCTCAGGACTTCCACCCGTGTGCAGGCGGAGTCACCAGGTGGGGAGGGGCCTGATGGACAGTCCAGGAGCAGAGACCCTGAGTTCCCCTCAACTTGCCCAATGTCTCCGTACACTGTAGTCAGACAGAATGATTTTATTTAATTAATTTATTTATTTTTGTTTTTTTGGAACAGGGTCTTGATATGTAGGCCAGGCCAGCCTCAAACTAGCAGTGATTGTCCTGGCTCACCTCCTGAATGGTGGGATTACAGGTGTGCGCAACCCTACCCGGTATAAGGAGGCAGAGATAAAACCAAATACAATTATTGGCTGTACCATATTACTGTATCTCAGAAAAAAAGCTATGATTAAATCGGAAAAAAACTCACAGATCATCACTGCCAAAAGTCTAAAAAAATTTTTTGATGAAGTCTTAATTTTTTAAAAGTGTTTTACATTTTAAAATTGAATGAAATGTTTCAAATAACTGGTATGTTGCAGTGTTTGGGAAAACTTTTTAAACGTATCTTATGTGGGTTCAATTCCAAGGCTAGTTTTCATTCAACAAATAAATCAGGATTTCTCATCATCCTTCACATTTCTCACTATTCAAAATGCTTGTTCACTGCTGATTTGGACTCATGCTGGGGCAGCTGTTATGACAGCAATACAATTTGCTCCATTTAATTTTGGCTCTTATTTAAAAATCATACTAACTTTGTATTTTCCTACTGTTAGCAAACATTCACAATTCGTATTTTGTGACTGTGAACTTACATCACTTTTACTTTTGAAAAGACTTCATATACCACTTTCTTCCCTAGCCAGTATGACTGCAATGATGCTATCACAGTGACAAGGAATTACAATTTGAATTCTTCCAGCCTATCATGTTTGAAAGGTACAATGTGAAATCGTCTTGCTTTGTGTTGCTGGGATCAAACCCAGGATCTCTTGCATGTCAGGTGAGTGTTCTAGCATTGAACTACACCCTCACCCTTGGAATGTGAGTTTTAGAAACCAAGTAAGAATTTTTAAAATTGGGGAAAAGAAAATCTCAAGTATCGGCTATAAGGTCAAACCATTTCTTTATATACTTTCTCCAAATCTATGATTGAGCCAAATTTTGGTATAAAATATAGATGTGCATATTTCTAGCTTTTGAGTGTTCTCTTGGGATGTTTATTAACTGTGTTTCTCAGAACACAGGCTCAACTATGAGAAATTGAACCTGACATTCACAGAATGCACCATTATCTACATGATTACTCCTGCTCTCACCTGAGGTGTTGCTGGACTGGGCCTGTGGCCATCAGCAAGTTTGCTTTTCCAGTTTTAACTCAATTAAAAACAGTATATAGGGCCAGGGATTTAGCTCAGTGGTTCCGCCGCCTGCTTCGCAAGCTCAAGGGCCCGAGTTCGATCCCCAGTACCAAAATAAATAAATACATACATACATACATTCATACAGTATATAAATGCAGCTTTGTAACACAGTTCCTAACAGCATGTACACGTGATCCACAAGAACATATTAAAGTATATGTCAGATACTGAGGCCATACTTTTAAGTGAAATAAATAGGACTCACATGTGTAAATACCGAAATTTCTCTAGTGTTAGAAACTGAAAGTGTAAATAAGGATTAAAATGATTAAAACGAATAATTGATAATTTTAAGTATATGTCAGAGGTACTTACTGTACAATAAAAAATAAAAATTCAGCAACATCTTCTACATAAAACTCCGGCAATGCTGCAAATACCTTGGGGACATCTGAACTTAAAGGCAGTGTTATGCTGTCAAAGAGAAAAAAAGCACAATTTACAAAATGAAATCATGGCGTATCACACTACAAGGAATATCATGCTACCATTAGATAAAAATCCACCTCTCATGCTATCAAACAACTATATAAAAAATATACAGGCAAAGAAACCACAACCAGGAATAAAAAGAAAATAATGAGACAGTGGGTGTGCTAGGGTGCGTGTGAAATGTTTTATCTCATCTTGATTTCTTATGAAAATTAATGCAGTTCCAGTCCCTGCTGTGCAAGTGCAAGGTGCCGAGTTTGATCCCCGGTACCAAAAAAAAAAAAAAACCCAAACAAAATAAAGTTAATGCAATAAATAAAGTGGGAAGGAAATTAAAGATTATATTTGGTCATTTTGTGTGACTCAAACTGTTAGGGCCACCACATGTTGTACAGGGTTTGGGTCAATCTCATCAATAATGGTGACCCACAGACTTCCTTTTATTATTTTTTTTTGCTTGCTTTTTTTGAGGCAAGGTTCCATTACATCGTTCAGGCTGGCCTTGAACTCTCAGCAATCCCCCTGCCTCAGACTCCCAAGTGCTGGGATCACAAGCATGAACCACCACACCCGGCCCACAGACTTCCTAATAACCAGAAAATAAATGAAACAAAACTGGCTGCCTGGAGATGTCCAGTTGATGACAAAGTGACTGCCTGAGTGTCCTTAGCTCACTCAGAATTTGCTGGGTACTCTGCTGGACCCAGGGCCTAGGAGGGCCTCATATCCTGTTGTCTCCAGCTTTGGCTTCCCATTTAATGATTTCCCTTTCCATCAAAGATTTTATAAGATTTTTTTTTAAATGCTATGTTGAAGCTTAAAAAAAAAGGCATTGGCATTTTCCTTTGACAGTTTACTAATCATGAGGGATATATTTTGATATATTTATTTCATGGGCTCTACCAACAAAGTCTGGAAAGTGAATCCTTGGTAAAGTTAGGGTTTCAGCTTTAGTTACTGACTCCAAAGAACGACCACGACAACACAGCCCAGACAACAGAGACGTGGCAAAGAGGAAAGAGCACACTCACTCGGGATATGCAGGGTCCAGGATGCGGAGCAGCAGCTGAATGAGAAGGCCATAAAAATTCAGACATCTTCTCAGGAAGCTCTCGTCAAGTAAGCCAGCGTCAGCACAGGCCTTGCACCGTACCAGTTTCTGTGGAAGTAGGTGTGGCCCCACCCATAGATTAGTCAGGAGCTGAGGCCCCGCAGCATGACTGGACAGGGAAGGGGGCCAGGAAATGGGAAGTCTAGTGCTAGAGCTTCTAGAACCTTCTAACTGGCTACAGGATGCTGGTTGTGTCAAGATCTTTCTATTTCCTGAGAAAAACAAAAGATATGCCATGCAAACCACTGAGCACGAAGTCTAGCACACACTTAGTACTCGAGGTTAGTTGTTACAGTCACATTTCAGTAACTTGGTTGGAGTGGGGTTGCCAGGGAGGCCCTCTGGGTGTCAGGATGGTTAGTGGAAAAAAGCCAGACAAATCCACACCTGAATTCTAGCACCACGGCTAATGAGCTGCCCTCAGACAGACAAAAGGCCTGTCCACCATGGAAGCGCTCTGTGCCTCGGAAGGCTGAGAATGAAACACACATGCACGCATACATGGACACAGAAATGTGACAGTTCAGAGACCCCAGAACACATCTGTGCAGGTGGTAGGGGGCTCTGGGCCCCTGGTTTATTTTGTACCTTCAAGCGTCTTCTCGATTAGCAAATGCAAAACTAAAATCTTAACCTGTACAAGAAGTCAGACAGGTGGTTTCCCCAGATCATCCTACTAGACCACAGGAAGGATGACCAGCTCACCTTCAGAACTGTCATTTAAATATAAGCGTGTAAGTGTTTTCCTTGTACAAGGTCAGCCAGTATTTGTTTTTAGCTGAGTCTTACAAGTAGGAGTATTTCCAGGTATCATTAAGTTCTGCAGAACTGATCGTTTTCAATTAGAAACAAAGAATGGGACAATGGAAAGAGATCTTTCCATTACTACAGATCCATCTTGGCAGGAACCATGGGGCCGCAGGGCCAGATGTCCAGAGCATGTGTGCGTGGTGGGCTGTGGGTCAGAGGGCAGTGGGCAGGGAGCATCTTGCATAAGGTGGGCCAAGGGCGGTGACATGAAGCCGAGGGTGAGAAAACCCAGGAAGAATTCATGCTGTCATTGTATAAGCATGTGCAGATTCTGTGCTGAGATTTAAATAATTATACAGAGGCGCACTCGAGGTATCAACAAGTTTCAACATGTCCTGTTTTATCTTGAGGGAAAGGGAGAATGAAGAAAAAAATCAGGACACTAAACTACTCACTCCAGGCATATTCTGGAAGAAAAATTATTGCTACAAGGCCGATCCATAATGATTCTAATGAGCTTCACAAACCTTAAGCTGAGTTTTACAGCGCTTCAGCATCTCGCGGTGTCTAGTTGCCAGGGGGGAATCTTTCCACTGGCTTTCATTATTTTTCAGATCTTCCACAGTTCTGAAATCAAAGACTAACAGTTAAATGAAAGAAAACACCCAGCTCTGCCTTATCTATTCATTTCAACCATTTCACTGACTCTCTGACCTGTTTCCACACAGAAGTATCTTCAAAATCAAAGGATATCTTACAACCAAAGGCAAGTTATGATTTAATTGGCAGCACTTTTTTCTTATTGGTTCCTAAAATGATGATGTGTCTTAAAATTGTTAATGTTGGATTTGATGACATATAATTGTCTCTTTTTAAAAGAAAGTACATTGTTCCCTTATTTTCCTGAGAGAGGAAAAGGAAGTCTCGTAATTGAGGTCACTATGCCTACGGGGTTATCAAAGCAAAAGGCTGTGGTATTAAGGGCCCCTCCTCATCTTCAGTCTTCACAATTGTTCTTTGCTGAGATGATCTCCGTGGCTTTGTTCCTGATTGCTCTGGGGATGTGATCAAATGTCACCTGTCAGCGAGGGAATGTCTTTCCCGGTCACCAAACATGCTGCACACTTTAGAGACTGGTTCATTAACATGATTTCACCCCCTCTTCTAGTGACTGTGTGGAAAATGAGAGGGTGCCAAATCCCTGAACACTTCACTCCCCAGAAGGTGTGTCACCTTTCTGCACAGCCTAGCTGTCACCGAGGAGGCAGAGTGATGAGACAGTCACATCATTTTTCTAGGAGCACAGGGGTAGAGGGGTTCTGGCTGTGGCAGAGGCTCCACAGTTAGGCTCAGGCCTGAAGCAGCTTCAAAATACCTCCATGAGTCTCCTTTCCCAGCCATTCCGATGATTCAGCATCCCTAACACTGCCCTTTAATGATCATCCCCTTTCTGATCATCCCACATACTTGGGACTCTTGCCCACAACTGACACGGGAATGTGGCAGCTGGAATAATCGCCCTGGAAAGATGTCTCATCTTAGTTGCTGGATGGAACCTGGGGGTCGTGACTGAGGGACTTGGTACTGTGATGAAGGGCACAAATGTTGATGTGGAGAGACTATCCTAGATTATTTGGGTGCCCAATGTCATCACACAGGTCCTGCTGAGAGAAAGAGGGAGAGATGGCAATGCGACAACAGAAGCAGAGGTCAGAGAGAAGAGGAGGTTTGGAGATGAGATGCCACTGGCTTTAACACGGTGGGAGGGGGCTACAAGCCAAGGAGAGCAGGCGAGGAGACATGTGCTCCCCACAGGGCCTCGAAGAGGGTTGGAGATGTGATTCAGAACTTCTGAGTGACACAACTATAAGATGACAGTGTGCTGGTTTAAGTCACTGAGGTTTTTATTTTGTATTGATTTCTTTTTGTGCTGGGGCTGGAACCCAGGGCCTTGTACATGCTAAACACGTGCTCTACTGCTGAGCCACATGCCAGCCCCTCAGTCACTAAGGTGGTAGTGATTTGCTACAGACCCACAGGACTCTAACACCATGACCTACAGTGCCTGGCAAGATGACAGCTAAGAGAAAAATGGACTGCTGCAGCCAGGTCTATAACAAGGCTGGTCTGAAAGTGGTGAAGACCCAGTAATTATGAGATGGAACCCTGGTAGTCCAGGGCTCTGCATGAACTTGCCTGGGATAAAGAGACAGAGTGGCTACTTCTAACTATGCTGGAAAACTTACAACAAGAAAATGACAGACTCAAGGTTTCCACTTCTTACCTCCTAGAAAAGCTGATGAACCTGGGAGTTTCTAAGGCAGAGTCGGGGCCTACAACTTATCAGATATAACACAGGTGAAATTCATAACCTTCCTGGGTCTCCTGAGAGGTGACATGGAGACTGGGTTCCCAAGAGTTCAAGTGCAGGAGTCTGGGAAATGTGATCGCTCCAAGTCCCCAGGTCCCTCAATGTGCTGAGCCCACCTCTCTGCTGTAATGACCTCAGCTGAGGCAGTCACCTTGCAGGGTGACACCAGCTCCTTTAGGACCATCACCCTCCACCACCTCCAGGACCACAACCAGGCAGATCAAGGGCTGCCCTGGGGACGCATTATGGAAGCAGACACTTGAAGGAAAAAATATGGGCAGATTTGCTAAAATGGTATATGAGTCTTCTATTGCAGCTGTAACAAATTATAAGAAACAATACAATTATTATCTTAGTGCTCTCATGGTCAGAAGTCTAAAATGAAGCCAGACTTGGTGGTGGAGGTCTATAATCCTAGCCTCCTAGAAGGCTGAGGCAGGAGGATCCAGGTTCAAGGACAACATGGGCAACCTAGTGAGACACACTTAGTGAAACTTGTGTCTCAAAATTTGAAAAAATAGCAATTAATAATTAAAAAAACAAAACAGCTGGGGACATAGCTCAGTGTGAGGGTCCAAGGTTCAATACTCAGTACCAAAAATAGAAAAAAAGGGGCCGGAGATTTATCTCAGTGGTTTCGCCGCCTGCTGCGCAAACGCAAGGACCTGAGTTTGATTTCCGGCACCAAAAAAAAAGAAAGAAAAAAGAAAAAAACGGGTCTAAAATGGATCAGCAGAGATGGATGCTTCTAGAGGTGTGTCTGGAGGGGGTAGATGTTTCTTTACCTTTTCCGGCTCCCAAGGTGACCTGCATCCCTTAGCTTAGAACCCAAATCACTCTGGCTCCTGCTTCCTTACAAAAAGTCCTGTGATGGCACTGGGTGTGGGGGGGCACTCAGATGATCCAGGATACTCTCCCTGTCAAGATTCTCACTGTAGTACCTTAACCACTTATGGCGACATCGGCACAGGATCTGGGGACCAGTATGTGAGCATCGTTGGGCTGCTGTTATTCCACCCACCACCTACATTGTGAGAAATGTGGGCATCTGTGTAGGGTCACAGGTGGGAAGAGACTCCAGGGTGCTTCACAGGGAAGAGGGAAATGCGACCACATTTCTCTGCTGGGCTCCCCTGACTGTCAGGATCACACCCACATGAGCCTCTGGACCCGACATGATCCTGAGACTTGGATGAGGCTCTGTGTGCCCAGCTGGCCCGGTGAGACCTGGACCTGACAGTCACCTAGGCTGGAAGAAGCTGAGTTTCACCTTGATAAGACCCACAGGAAGGAACTAAAAAGTTCAGGAGCTTGGAATGGGCGTGCAGACTTATGTGTGATTTGCTCAGAAAAGCTGCCTGCTGATGCACACAGGACACGCCCAGCCGTGTCCTAGATGTCACTCGTGCTATCAACTCTGAAACACCTGGGTGTGGGGCACACACCATCTCTGCAAGGCACAGCAGCGCTGACCCGTCTGGGCTGGGAGGGCAGGCGACAGGTGGGGACCCTGGAATGGGCCAGCCAGGGGCCAGGGGCAACAGGATCTCAGCAGGGCCGGCCACCCTAAGATAGTGGACATGAATCCAAACCACAGCTTGAAATTTATGTAAGCCTCTCGAGATCACTGGGTTTATATGCTGATAAAAAGCGCTAAAAAGGGCAGAGATAGGAAAACTTGAAAAACAAGTTAACACTTAGTCAAAATGGCACAGCTGGACACCACAATCAACAACAGCAAGAGCACATTCTTTTCAGGTCCATGAAGGTAAATGTCAGGAAAATCTCAATAAACTTCAAAGAACACAAAATGCACAGAACAAGATTAAAACTAGACCTATATCTCTCACCATGCACTAAACTAAAATGGAAATGGATTAAAGATCTAAATATTAAAATAGAAACGCTGAATCAGCTGGAACAGAGGTTAGGTAGAACCCTTGAAGACATTGCTGTAGGAAAAGATTTTATGAACAAAACCTCAGTTGCCCTTGAACTAGCACAAAGAATCAACAAGTGGGATCTCTTCTTATCAAAAAGCTTCTGCACAGCAAGAGAAACCACCAGCAGTGTGAAGAGACAACCCACAATGCGGGAAAAAATCTTCACCTGCTGT